TGTGCCTTGGCAGTCTCCTCAGGATGACTTTAAGACTTGAACATGGTCATTTTTGTTTTGTAACATTGAATACAAAATTTAAAAAAAAGTATTTAAAAAACATCCCGATCCCCGATTTTTTTTCTTCCGATCTTTTGAAAACCACGTGATCGGCCCCGATCACGTGATGGGATCGGGACATCTCTATTTATAGCCATTTTCTGATTTGTAAATCTCCTCAGCCACAGTCAAAACATTAATGTATTGCAGCAGTGAGGTGAAAGTGGTCCCTTTTTGTATTTTTTCCCTTTTTATGAATAAAACACGACTATTCATTTAAAAACAACACACATGTGGCCAAACGATCGGCCAAGCACAAGTATTACCACAGACAGCGAGGGCTTTATGGATTCACAAGGACGAGCCTCTTCCATCTTCACCGTCCAGTTCATGAACCATTACGCTCTGTGAGAAATGTGCAATTATTTATTCTCTGGGTTCTTTTTTATATTTTGTTAGCCAAGTTGTCTAACAAGCCTGTTGGTCCTTCAGTGGTTTCTGTTCACAGATCAGAAATCTAGCAAAGAAGGAACTCCTGGGAAACAAAATGAAATCAGATTTTCTTTATGCCTTAGATATTAACACGTCATGCGTTAAGAGTTTGTGTGGCACTGGTCAGAAGTATGCAATACCTCATGGAAAGCCCTGCCTACCTAGCAACTGTTACGCAACGCCTCATGCAGCTTAATTGTAGAGAATACACTGTAACAATAGAGAGCAATTGTAAGAAAGAATATAAAGCGTTCATTCAAAGTTGTTTTTTTTGTAGTTTTCAGAAGCAGTTTTCACCATAAAATGTGTTTTGTCTTTAGAGTTATATTTGCACATTTGTAGATGAGACACTTGTAGCCTAAGGAGGACAGGAAGTTAATAAAAATGCAGCCTGCAGCCCTTCGGTAATTCACCTCAGTACGTTAGCGGGTCGTAATATTTAAGCAATATGCTGAAATTATTGTTTCAGTGCATGAGTAAATGTCTAACCATTGTATCAGATTCAGTATTCTGACACTAGCCTTGAAAAAGTAATCGCCATCTTGGGTTTTTTCATTATCAAAAGTCCTGCAAATATCAATTGAAATGACTTGGATTCATCTAACTGTAACATATTTTCATACACGATGGTAGCCTACGTGTAAAATGACACACCTGAGTTCAAACATGTTTGTTTAACTCCATCTGTGGCACTAAACCGGGTCCCTTCTCTTGTCATTGAATCAACTTTATTTTTGACTCTTTTATGATATTTAGTCAAACTATAATATGACTTTATTAAAAGAAAATTGACAAACTAAACCATGACTTATCTGATTTTCTTTACTTTTGTCGCACGATACGATTACTTTTTTCCGACATGATATACTATGACTTAATGATATTATTCAAAATGCTATACTATGACTATTTTTCCCCCCCGTCGCATTATACTATGACATGTCTTGACCATATAATCCTTTTTTATGATGTACTAACTATGAATTTCTTTGACGTATTAGGACTTATCTGATATGTTTAAGATGTTTTTTTCTGGTATTTTCGACATACTATCCTTAGACTTTTTTTCAACATACGTGACTACGATCTCAGACCTCTGTAAATATTTAAAGGAAAATATCGGTTGGATCCATGTACATTCAGATTTCCCTCAGCAGGAGAAAACGGCTGGATTAGTTATTGTGTAATTTAAATAAAACATATACCACATGTTCTGATTTATTGGATTTTCACTGCTCAAAAATGTCTGCTCACTATTTAATTCATATTTATATAACTATTTTGTCACTCTAAAATGTAGATTTTTACTTCTTTGTTAGAACTTAGTTTAGGATATAAGCAAATTGTTAAAATGAATTAAAAGACTTGGAAAATCTAATGTGTTTCGTGTCTTTTTTCTTCTCATTAATAGTCATTGTACATATGTTACCCTATCAACAAGACGTGTAATATAATTGTCAGTTTTATTTAGAAAATACATTTGTTACAAAAAGCAGTTTATAAGATAGCATTAAGTAAAAGAAGCCAGTGCATGTACAGTATATACAATTAGAAATAGGAAGCAGGAGAAATAAGCAGGAAGTGTTCGTTATTGCTCAGTTTCATCGTTGGCTGGCCTGGTGGAAGTTCAACAAAAATCTTCACCGGAGTCCTTTTTAAAAAAATGTGCTTTGTCACTCGCAGTTGATGCAAAACAACACCGCAAGATACTTAAAAATAAATAACATAAAAAATCTAAAAGAAGTGTATTTTAAGGCATTCCCTTATTTTGCTGCCATTGGCATCAGTTCACCCACAAGCAGACAGATCCAACACACGACCTGAAACCTTGTCCGTCACATAAAATACAACATACCGACAAACATGGCAGACTAAAAAAAGAAATGGAAAACAACAACCCTGGCCACCGTGATTCTTGCTCAATGGCTACGAAATTACAAACAGACACATGACATGTATCTTGAGATCTGAAACCGTTCAGAGTTAGTAAGCATACTGATGTTCCTGAAGCACTGAAGGTATCATTTCCTTCACTACGGTACATTCCTCCCGACATTCCCACGTGTTTGCAGTTTGGGATTGTGTGTCTAGTGTTTCCAACTTCCTGTCCTACGAGTGCCGGGACAGAAAAGCGCGACTTCTGGTGACAAATCATCTCCTAAAACCTAGTAACATTAAAACGGACATGATGTTATTGTATTAACCCGCGATAAAGGATCTGTGTTGGTCACAGGAGACGCAGTAACAGTGAATAAACACAGCTTTCTCACTGTAATACGACTAAAGGAGCAGGGACCAAGGCCAACATACATTTCACCTAGAAGCTACATTCAAATGGCCTTAATGGGCCTGACAGTACTTCTTAATATCTCACATGTTTATCTCTAAGAGGCTGTTGTGGTAAATGATCAAACCTTGTCTAACACGCAGAATGGCTGTGTTACATTCATTACATAAAATACAGGATTTGTGAAGCATCTCTGAAGAAATGTCTGTAGTTTCAAACATCTGTAAACCCACAAAGGTCTTCCAAACCTAGAAGTGGAATATGAAAGGCACGCAATATCTGAGATTGATACCACTGTTATGATGTTGCTATCCTACAGAGGTGTGAGAGGCGCTCCTGTGGTCTCTGACGGGCCTACACTGAGCACAGCTCTTCACTCGACCGTCTAATAAATAAAAAATGGTCCAATTCTGAAGAAGAGAAACCCTGCAAAGTATTTGGTCCAGAGGTTTTCTCGTCAGACTCTGAACCAGCCGCTCCTGGGTTCTGTCACATCTGTTTCCAGAGGAAGATGAGGCTGTGGATGGAGAGGATGCTGAATTAGATTTAGCTTAGAACATATAGCATTCTCTGGTGAGGATCTCCCCAATACGGATATTGCAAGGCTTGAAAGTCGTTACTTTTACATTCAAATTTGACTTTATACCAAATCAAGTGTGAACAAATGATCATATAGTCTAATCCTTGTAGTGACAAAGGGAGAATGGTACTTACTGAATGGTTTAAGCTTGGTAAAGTGGCCCCGCAGTTTCTTCAATGGGTTCTGTGATACATCAAAAACAAAAACATTAGCGTTATTCCATCGCAGTAAACTATTTGCTTTTCTTGACTTTTTTCAACTTACAATACTATGACTTTTTTTCGAGATATTAAGCCATGAAAGAAAATCTGACTTTGACCAGTTTTTTTCTGATATTTTCGATTTCCTATACTATGTCGTTTTTTTTGTCAAACTATACTATGACTTTTTTTCAGATATTTTCAATTTACTATGTCGTTTTTTGCCTCAAACTATACTATGACTTTTTTTCAAAAAACTCTAGCATGATATTTTTCAACATAATTAGCCCTGGACAGCCCCAGGCCTATTGAACCCCTGTACCTGAGGCCCTTGTAAATGTAAACTTTACTAAATTGTAAACTAATCTAAGGTTTTGGAGTTGAAGGAATCTCACCACGTAGAGGCCGTTTGTGGTTCTTTCGTCGATGTACCATGACCCCGATAATCAGCGCCGCCCCGACCAGAACCACCGCCAGCACCGAGAAGCTGGTAATGGCCGCTAGCTTCCACACATCAGACGTCTCGTCAACAGATTTACCTATTGGTTAAACAAAAAAACGTAAACTACAAACACTTAAAAGAAAAGTTACCACTGTATAAATATATCAGAATCACCTTTATTGGCCACAAATGTGAACAAATCAAGGTGTTGGACTTTAATGTCTTTAAAGACATTAAAGCTGGACAAAAAAGTGGAATAATATATACTGTACATATAGACTGTTGTGCATATAAATATTGTAGAAAAACATTATCAACCAATGACAAATTAAGTTCAAATAAAAGTAAAGTGTCACTTGTAACTTATACAAATATTGCAGATAAATACATACTGAATGGATGCTTATGTACATGTATATCATATATATACAGGAAATACAATTATTAAACTATTTGTTTGCATTAAAACTGTAAATTTATATTGTGGGGGTCTTGTTACAGAGCTGTTGAAACTGTATGACTAAACAGTTAGGTGTGACAGCTTGCGGGAAGTAATATTTATCTGTGTGTGTCATCAGTTAATCATGGCAGGAAGTGATTTACATTCACTGTCTTACATGTGTTGCAGGACGGGGTCTTCGGGTACTGTTTGCACGACGAACACGACAGACAAACGTCCAAATCTGAGTTCCAAAACTCTGAGCTGCCACACTGACCTGCACAAAAACATCAGAGGTAATGGGTTAGTTTCTCATGACTTATGAACACATAACAATGTGACATTTTATGACTTGTAGCAGTGGCAGACTCAGGGGCGGAAAAAAGGGGCAACATGTGCACGACCTTGAGCATCAAGACGGAAAGTTATCATGGTTTACCAACCATAGGGGCATCTTATTGTTTCACTTTGCAGAGTTCTGATCAAACATTGAGGCACAGAAGAATACATTTGTGAAACAAACCAAAACTTTCCTGACTCTGGAATAAAGTTAAAAATAAATGATGATGAACAGGTGACTTGCAGAAGCCTGGCTTAGGTAATACAGAACAACATGAGACTTATATGAAATGTGTGGCTTTCTTCTTCTCATAAAACGAAAGTGGGAAATTCCTATGGGTCAGACCGCTGATGTAAACCCAATTGCAAGAGAGAGGTTTACTCATTTCAGGTGCATGTGCTGTGTGAAGAGCAGGATGTTTTTTCACAGTGCTTCCTTCGAACTGTTTTGCGACTGCGTGCGACTTCCAGAGAATAAACGAACACGTTGGTGAGAAAGTAGTCATCGGAGGTTCAGCTCTGAGAGGACACAATGGAAAGCTTCATCTCTTTCAATGGCAGTCAGACAGCTGAACAATTAAAACGCTGCCTTTCCCAGGTGATAAGGGAGGAATATGTAAACACAGTTGACACCAATGGCATAGTAAAGAAACTGTTTTAGTTTTTTAATAATGTGGGCTTTTATCTGCTGGTTCCTGGATTTGGTGAGGAGGCATGTTAATATCTCAAGGTCATGCATAAAGTAGTTCATATAGTGTCATCAGTTGGACAAAAGCCTCTTCAAAACATTGTTGCAAAACAAATGAAGCCTTATGTAAGAATGAAACCATGATACATCAGTGACAGCCTAACAAGGATACTATTTGATAGATACGATTGATAAGAATCTTTCTTTGTGTCACACTGTTGTTTACTCGCCATAGTTTCACAAGAAACCACCCGAGCCTGAACTGATTCATCATTTGCAGTAACTGTCATGTTTGAACTGGCTGCTTTAATCACCACTGAAAGCAATACCACAACTCACAGAGAGTCAAGAGTTTGACGCAAAACTAAATAAAAAGAAAATGAAGGTTGGTGACTGTGGTCAGTACATTCACAACAACAGAGTACCGAATATTGTGAGGTCAAACTGAGGACAAACAAACTGAACAACACAAAGTCCAGCTAGTGAAACAAGTGAACAAAAGGTCAAAAATAAAGTCTATTGTCACTCAAGACAGAGAAGAGCAGAAAGAAAGAACAGTTAATGTTTGACACGTGTTGAGCGCCTCTCTGACACCGAAAACAGATGACTGACGTCTTTCGTGTCTCCGGAGGGAGATTTGGAAAATAAATAATCCTGAATAACAAATATCCCTGATGATGTAAAAGTGATGTCACTAGGGTTGTCTCATATTGGGCTTTTGAACAGGAAACCTGCTTAACTAACTGGATGTATGGAGTGGAGGGCGAGGAGGAGGACTTAACGAGCAGTTAAGTTGCTTATGGGAAACTTATAGGATCCAGGGTTCTTGGAATTGAACCCATGTTTTAAAGGGGACACATTGTGATTTTAGGGTTTTCCCTTTCCTGTAATGTGTTGTCTTTGTTTTTGTGAATAAAAATGGTCTGCAAAGGCTAAAATACCAAAGTTCCCACCAGAGGGAGTTTCTCTCCCACACTCCCCCACTGCCTGAAATTGGACTACTTTGTTTACTTCGGAAACACATTGACATCACTTTGTAACACTCTTGCTGCTATTGGCTAGGGCTCTGGTTTCAGGCAGAGGGTGAAAAGAGGTGCTGCAGCACAGGCAGTAAGAGAAAAATAAAGAGCTTTTTGAACATTAAAGCATGTAAACATGTCACTGTAGAGAAACAAGATACAATTATAAACATTTGCAAAATACGGCCCCTTTAAAGTAAGGATAGCTCAGCCTTTGGTTGTTTGACATTTTCTTTTTCTTTTGAGTTCCCAAACATCATGGATGTACAGTAGGTAACCTCCTGGGAGGACATGTCGGTTTTCCAAGAGCCTGAGATCTGAAGCCTACAAGTTATCATTACCAGTTCTTCAGCTGGTCACATTACACAGGACCAAATACCTGTCGACAAGTCATTAATAAAACAGCTGCAAACCATAAGGCACTCGCCGTAAAAAAGTCATGTTCGAGGCATTTTGACCTCTAAGTGTGGTTATGTTGGAGCCATGTGCACAGATCCCCGGAGACTCCCCGTCCTCCGCAGCCTGCAGAGCCGGGCTGACTCACTTTATAGCTGTGGCCACAGGACAAATGTGTCACAGTTCTTGTAAGCGTTTCTCCTGTAGCCATTCATCATCCAGCAGGTCCAGCTGGATCCTGCTCTTAGGTTGAAAAGGTCACAAAGAGAGGAACTGAACCGTGACTGCTGGTTGACCTCCGCGGTCTAAACCTAACCCGGAGCAAGGCTTTTGTTTCTGAAATACAACCTGCTGATTACATTTCTGATATGAATCTCAATTTTGAGGTTAAAAGGAAATGATTCTACTACAATGTGACTCCTCGTGAAGTATTCCACTAAACATTTTCTCACATTCATGCCTGGCAACATCTGCATCAGTCAGCATAATATTTTAGCAGCAGGGGGTAAGATTTCAATAAAGTTTCTTATGATGCAGCACTTGGAAATCTGGCACATTTGGAACCATTTATTGTGTTCCCGGACAGAAGACCATGGCATTGGCTTATTCTCAGCACCTATACAAAGGGTGTTTTTGGGTGTGGGGGTGCTGTGTTTTGTCATGAGTTGGAAGGGGGTGGGTGGGTCAACAGCTGATGTCCAGATGTAGAGATGGTTTCACACGGATAGGATCTACACACCGAAGACTTTTTGACTTAAAATGTGTTTAAAGTCTGAGGAAATGGTGCAAACTCGTGTAATTATTCAAGACTGAGTCTGGGATGATATCCAAACTTTAGGCTGCTGTGGAAACAAAGTCACAAGCTCTCTTTTCTTTTGGAGGGGAGTTTCTCAGACAGTCAAAACTGTTACATTTGAGAGAAGTGGACACAGGCAGTGCACCATGTCCTCTTCGCCCAGGGACACGGATGGACGGGGTGAAATAAGGCGATAGGAATGCGGAACCGGTGAGAAATGCAGCTGGTAAAGGAAGCGGCTCTGTAAGCAAACCCACTATCTGACTCCATTAAAGGCAGACCACACCAGAGAACAATAATCCATGTTCACAGAGACAATGAATCAAAGCAATAACACATATAGAGAAACAAAGAAAATTCATCAAAATCTATCAAAGTTGTCATTTAAGTTTCCTCATTGTTGAAATAAAAACAGCATTTTACTCACTTTTCTGTGCGCTCACACCATGGAAATTGGTCCCAGCCGCTATAATAAGTCCGCAGAGCGCGCAGAGGGTGTTTAAAGCCATGGTGTCTGCGGGGGAAAGCTGCTCGCTGTTGGCTACACGATTCCCGAAAAGTTCATCTGATTAACAATCCGAGCTGGTTTTGAGCATGGAAAAGCGAGCATCAGAGTGAGTCACCCGGAGGAGTCTGAGCCTTGTTTTAATAGCGCACACACCCACGCTAACAGTTCAACTCCTATGACTCATTTCCTATGTACTGTACTGCTCGGATTCTCTGCGCACTCACAGGAAACTCCTCAGTGTGTGGCTCCATTTGCTTCTAGTGAAAGTTTCAATCAAACCACATCAAGTATGAGAGTTTAAATACATACATTTCATTTTTTTATGGCCACACCCCGGAGGATTTTCTCAGGGGTGTGCGAAGTACTCAGATAGTGTACTTAAGTAAAAGTATGTAGGAGTGTAGGAATAGGAACTCTGTTACAAGTAAAAGTCCTGGATTCAAAATGATACGTGAGAAAAGTATTCGCATCAACATATACTTAGAGTACCAAAAGTAAAAGTACTAATTATGCAGATTTCAGAATAATATATTGTGTGTTTTGATTATAATTATTGATGCATTAAAGTGTTATAAAAGTGCAGCTAGTTTTAATTACTTGTACTCTTCATGGTAGCTTGTGGATTTACTCCAGGTGTATTCTTATTTAATTGTTTATTATATTTCACATTATTAAACAAAATCTGCTAAGTAACTAAAGGTATTAAAGAAATGTAGTGGAGTGAAAGTACACAATATTCCTCTGAAATCTAATGGGAGTACAAAGTAGCAAAAAATGGTAATACTTAAATAAAGTACAGGTACGTTAAAATTGTCCTTAAGTACAGCACTTGAGTCAATCTAGTTACTTTACACAACTGGTTTTCCTCCACATTTTTCACAGAGAGTGTGCAGTCTGGAGTTAATAGTGTTCTCATTGTTATTACCACGCCTGTGTACGTCAGTAGCTCCCCTCTGCCAAAAAACACAACTCTCTGGCATGAGTGTGGGTCCCATGCACAGAAGAAGAGGAACAGCACACTGAGGCAAAAACAGATGACATTCACTAGAAAAACTATCAGCTTTCAAAGCCTTAGAGAAATAGTCTGTCTAAAAGTTAGAACTAGATAAACGTTATCTGTTGTCCACTTCAGTGCCCTGTGCAGTAAACAACTTTTTGGAAACTTGACATTTGAATAGTGAGTGTCCCTGACGCAGGGTGGTGTTATTAAGGCTTGGGTGTTGCCTGCTGCTGCAGCACAAATATGCAATAACATAGCCAGTGGACTCATGCTATCAGGTTGGACCGTCACAGAGCATTGTCTCATATATTAGTAACAATAAAGAACATCCGTTACTACAACATCTGTGCTGTGGGGCATACAATGATCACTTAGCAAAAAGTCAAAACTACAAATTTATTAAGAACAGGTTGTGCACATTCATACGAGTAAACAACTATTGCCAATGTAAACATGTTAGTCTGATTTTTGCCAACAGTATAGCTAATTCTCAAAGAAGTCTTACTCAACTGCTCCCAAATGCCCGATAAACTTTTTTCTTCACAGCCTGGAACTTTTTATGCATGTGCTACATGGTGCGAACTGCCTTTCCCACAAGAGCTAACGTCAAACAGACGCTAACCCACCTCCCAGTAAATAGTTCACATCATCCGAACAGAGGGAACAGGGTTTCATTGGCGCAATTAGGTAAGAGGCATGTTGTTAAGCAGATGTTTTTGTACTCTTCTGTCACGGCTAACCTTTAGCAAAGCAGGACCTGGAGCAGCGCAGCCCACTAAGGACACCCATATGAGCCGAATTTCCATTGCAGTGATTTCATCTGTAATGAGGCACTATAAGCTGCAGATGTTGTGTCAAACTCTCCAACGGGAACCATGGCAACAGGATGAACACACACACACACACACACACACACACACACAGAGGACCTTGCCCAAGGTGATCCACACACTGCTGTATGTGCTGACGGGTCACCAAACTCACTGACGTCTCTCATTGTTAATACTATAGCCTAAGCAGGGAAGTTACAAAACCTTGGCTGTCGTGCTTTACGTATTAGAAACATATTTAGTCCTACACATGCAGGCCTCGGGTCTGTAAAGCACGGCTTCTTTTAATTCTGAAAATGCAGCTTCACTGATTCCACAGGATTTTCATAAACCAGCAGGACAAAACAATGAAAAGAATTGCGTCAGTCAGATGTACCTCAGCAGTTCCAAGTTATCAATACATTAAACAATAGGAATATTTTAAAGTGGGCCCAGCTTGATAAAAAAAGAAAGGATGTTTAAACATGGCAAGGACAGGATAAACAGTGCAGAGCAGCTCGACATGTAAGAACATCACTGTTTGCACAAACATCTGTGTTTATTAACTACAGCACAACAATCTCAGTCAGATGTGTCACTATCTGTTTGGTCACCAAATGGCAAAGATGCGGTAAAACAAGTCCTTCCAAAGAGAGATTAAAACAGGGAACACATATCTGATATCCCACAAATGTCCACCTCTTGGAAATACATCTTCATTTCTATAGTCTTTTTCTCTATTCCTTTGGTTCTGTCTACAGTTTTCCCTTCTCGCTCCTCGGCCTCTCGGGGAGTTAGGTGATGTAGATGCGGTGAAAGTCGTTGGCCCCGAAGGCGCAGTTGCACTTGGGGCACTTCCTCTGCCGGGTGTCGTAACGCATCTTCAGACACTCGTAGCAGAACACGTGGAAACACTTGGTGAGTACCGTCTCCTTGTCTCGTGTGTTGCAACAGGGGCAGCGCAGCTTGGCCTGGAGACAGATAAATGCGTTACATATGGGCCAAAACGCTCTCTTGCCAGCAATGTTATTACCTCCATCCATTTTACGGCAACACAGCTCACACTTTAGGGTGTAACAAGTAAGCTGCGGGATACCCAGAGACCATAGTGATGCTGTGGCTCTCTGGCCTTACCAATGAAAACCAGCCAATGAGGCAGATTACACAAAGTGTAGACATTAGCATTACAGCACATCACTCTCACTTGGCTCTTCTAGTGTAATGCAGACTGTGCCAGAAACCTTTTTTTATAACTCCCTCGCCGCTCACAAAATTCACAAAGGCCCTACATTTCTCTGCATTATAAAAAACCTGTTCATTTCCTGACCTTGTACTGGTTGATCTCCTCCTGCAGGATCTCATCAGCGTCAGAGTACACCTCCACCTTCTTCTGCTTCTCCAGCTTCCGCCTCAGCCTGGACAGATCCTCCTGTAACGCATTAGTAGAGTTGGTGAATACACTCGTGTTGTGATCATCCAATCAGATCTTCAGGATTCATTTGGGAAGATGTACCCCTGAAGTTCCAAGTTATCATTAAAGTATAGAAATATTTAAAAGTGGGCCCAGCTTGATAAAAAAATAGGTTTTTGACATTTCTATATGTTTTTATATGTTTCTAGTTATTGTGCTTTTTATCTTGTTTTTAATTATTGTTTTATTATTTTGCTCCTATTGTGTTATTCTATACTGTGTTTGTTCCCTGTACAGCACTTTCGTCAACTGAGGTTGTTTTAAATGTTGTTTTAAATGTTAAACAGCTCAACATTTCCCCTCAGCCTCATCCTAGAAGTCATCAGAGAAGTTGTTTCCTAGTCTCATGTTGCGATCGTCCAATCAGAACTTCAGGAGTCTTTTGTGGAGAGATTGGGAAGAGTTTTCGTCCCTGCAACCCAAACGTACCTGTGCTCTCTTCAGGTTGGAGCTCTCCCTCTCCCGGGCGGTGCGGTTCTCCGCCACAGAGACCTGGATCTCCTTCAGCTTGGCCTGCGTGTGCTCCAGCTGCACCTTCAGGTCCTCCGCCAGCTGGGCAGCCTCCACCGCCTGCAGCAGAGAAGGAACCGGACACACTCAATGAAGAAAGAAAGCCCTAATAACATTCCTGCGCTGTAATGTGGTGGAAGTACAGTAAGCCTGGATCAGACTTGGCATTCTGAGTCTGAGGTCCCAACCTAAACACAGGCACCATTAGTTTAGCATGTTTTCTCCTATTCGCTGCTGATTTCCCAGCCCTGACGACTGTTTCCCACAACTCACCATATACTGTACGCTGTGAGATCCTCTTCATAGCTTCCAGGCAACAACTGGTTTCGGTTCAATTAAGCAACTGCTTTTGTGTGTTCCTGTTCTGTTTAATCTTACTCCTGTGGTGGTTCCTAATTAGGCCAATCTCACATAAGTAGCAAAAACTAGATGACCTCATTCATATTGCCCCAGGAAACTTTTTTGTCCTGACAGGTACTTGGGCAATGTTAGAAACTACCAGGAATAATCCCACAAGTGCAAACTTAGCTCGTTTGGAAAAGCGTGGGAATCAGGAGGGTTTAACAGAGCTAACAATGTAGCTCGTTAAAGCTTTTAATGTTTTGTGGAAGCAACATCTTGGTCTTTTTCCAAGCGCCTGAACACACCTCTGTGTAGCACATGGCAGTCTCCAGATACTCTAACCTTAGACATCTGGCAGCAATCAAAGCTTACAGGTGATTAGCAAACCTTTCAAAAGGAGCTGACAGAAAGATTGATGGCATTTCTTTCCTCACCTTCCTCTTGTTGAGTTCTAGTCCTTGTGTCCGGACAGTCAGCTCCTTCTCCAGAGCGGCGAGTGCGCTCTGCAGGACGCCCTCTTTCTCCTCCAGTCTCTGCACCACCAGCAGCTGTGCGTCCACCTGCAGAGGCACAGCAAGGGTTAATACTTCCTGCACATAATGAAATCCATCAATGCTGCGCTTCCAGGATCAGCAGTAACACGTCACCTGGGTTTTGAATGTGAGAACTTGGTCAGCCAGCTCCTCCTTCTCCTCTTTCAGCAGCTTGTAGATCTGGTTGGATTTGATTCGCTCGCTCATCAGCTTGAAGTTGGCGTCGTCTTTCTCTCGAAGCTGCTGCAACAAGCGGCTGTTCTGCTCCTGCATGTCCTCGAAGGCCTGGCCTGTAACATCCATCTCACTCAGCAGGGCTTCCTCCTCCTCGAGAGACAGACGTGTCAGGGATCAAAAACAACGCCAAGACAGTAACAGTCGTGCTGCCTCTGGATCTAAGAAACTGCTAGAGTGTAACCATCTGTAGTCCTTCATATAAAGGATGTGCTGTGGATTCAGTTCCAACTCATATTCCCCCGATATTATGGCGCATTTCCACTGCAGGGCCTCGCACGGCTTAGTACGGTATAGTTAGGCCTTGGTAGGCCAGGCTCACTTTATGCTGCGTTTCCATTACAGTTTAGGAACTGGGGCAGTAACTATAGTGACGCAGTGTAGGTGGAGCCGTGGCATCATCTTCAATGCGAAACACAAAACCAATATCAGCCGTTAGCTGTTAGCCCTCAGAGCTCACAGCTCCTCATGTCTGTTCAGAAACCAAGTCCAAACCACAGACTGTCTGTCTGGAGAATACAGTCGCTGGTTTATTTATGTCTGTAGGCTGTTGTTGTGAGTGTGGATGGTCGGAGCATATACTGCGTCAACAACAGCCTACAGACATAAATAAACCAGCGACTGTATTCTCCAGACAGACAGTCTGTGGTTTGGACNCGATCTTTATGCAATGCATTAAGAGAAAAAAAAGAAAAAAAGCATTCAAGTTGTCCCTTAAGGTTATTTTTTTATTTAAATTGGATATTCTATCCAACATGGATATAGCTTCTTTCTTTCACAGCAGCATTGGATCAGTTCAGTTGTGCAGCATTGGATCAAAACAAAATAAAGCTTATCAGTACTCGTTAGCTTACTGCTACAATTAGACACTGCGCCCTGCCCACTCTGTTGCCAGATTTGAGAGAAATAAGCAACCAGGTCTATGAAAACAAGCCCCAAAGAAGCAACACATACATGATGTTGTGTAATTTGAAACCAAAACTAAGGCCTCAGGATGACTTTAGGACTTGAACATGGTCATTTTTGTTTTGTAACATTGAATACAAAAAAAACAACAAAAAAAACCCGATCCCCGATTTTTTTTCTCCCGATTCCGATCTTTTGAAAATCACGTGATCGGCTCCGATCCCCGATCACCTGATCGGATCGGGACATCTCTAGTGATTGGCTAAGCTAACGCAGTATATGCTCCGACCGTCCACACTCACAACAACAGCCTACAGACATAAATAAACCAGCGACTGTATTCTCCATGACACAGACAGTCTGTGGTTTGTTCTTGTTTAACTTTGGTCTAGTTTCTGAACAGATATGAGGAGCTGTGAGCTCTGAGGGCTAAAAGCTAACGGCTGATGTTTTGGTTTTCTGGTTCAACGTCAGTGACGGCAGGCTGAGATCCTCACCGCTGATTGGCTACCGCGAGCAATTTCAAGCTTGAGTTGAAACATTTTACTCGAGCGTTTGTCGCGGCCCCCTTCAATCGCCTCAATCGCGCCGCGGCATTCACATCAAATGCTTCATGCGCGCATTCTACATTGGCTTTACATGTAATCGCGCCGCCCCTAACATCGTCCGGTGTGAACGCAGCATAATTCATTTTGCAGACATAGAGTTTGCCCCTTGGTGATTCTTTACATATATAACCA